GACATTGCTGTAGCCATGAGATGCAGCCACTTCGTGCAGCCAAGCACCCTTTTTTTTCCCCTGTATCACGTAGTATTTCAAGGAACTGAGTTCAGTGCAGCCCACTTCTCTCTCTCATTTCAGTAGGGACTGTGTCCCCTGCAGAGATGGAGCATCCTGCTGCCTTCCCACCTCCCAAAGAGCACGCCCCAGCAGCCATTCCTCTCCAGGTTCCCACTGCACGAGGGAGCAAATGCACACCATCAAATTATTCTTACGAAACAATTCAGTCTGCAAACTGCAAAATCTCACCTAAATGTGTATTTTGCTTGTCACTCCTTTTTATTCTGTTTTCATAGGAAGGAAGTAATGATAAACAAATTACTGCATGCGAGCTCTGGCAGGCAGTTTCAAAGCTATTGACAAAAACCAGTCTATTCACTGCAAGCGTCCTACTTTTACAGTCTCTCTGATCAGGATGCAGAGGACTAATTCAATAGTTCCCAATGGAAAAATACCTAGTGGGCGTGTTTGATTTCCGGAGACAATGGTTTGCCATGTGGAGCTTTTCTCTACCTCCATCCCTCCATTCCCCCACCTTTATTTTTCCTTTTCTTTTTTTTTTTTTAAGATCTGAAGAATTTGCTCTGAAACACCATTGTAATACTTCACTTCCACAAAACCTACTTAAAAAAAAAAAAAAAAGAATAAGAAGAGAAAGAAAAAAAGACGTGGGAGGGGAAGAAGCTTTTCAGTAAGGCTGGGACCTTACTATTTAACCAGGGCAGGCTGCTTCCCACCTACTAGTCCACATTATGGGGACTACACATGGTAGTGAATGTCAAAAAAATCCCCTGTAAATCAATTCAAAGAGAGTCGGGTCAAACACAGGACTCTGAATTTAAGTATTTCAAATTTCATTCTGGAGCAACAGGGTAAATACAGCAGACCATGCAATAAATGCTGCTGAGTTCACAGCAATCCATGTGCTAACAAGACCAACTCCCGGGCATTAGCAAGTCCATTTGCTCCCTGCTCTTCAAACTATGACAAGGCTTTTATACATAGGCCACCAGGCACATAAAAAGAACATGTGAAAACTCATGGCAAAGATCACATCTTCCAGTGTTTGGGTCTCACAATAGCACTGACCACAATTACAATTTCAGTACCATTCACAGGCCTCTGACAAAGCAAAATTTCCATGTTTTACGCTAAGCTATTCCAGTCACGGATTAGAATCTCATCAAAACAGCACCCCCATTGTCCTCTTTACCAGCATTGTTTGTTAGGAATGGAAGAACTATCCACTGCAGTTTATTTATCAATATTTCCCTTTGGCTCCCAGAGGCATGTGCTTGCTCTGCTTTGTAACTGAATTTAATTGATGTAGTAGCCTGAGATTTAAGACATATTCCAGCTCTGAGCCCAAATCAGAAGGCCTCTCTCATGTTTCTGAAAGCCATTCAGTTCTTTTGTTTGTTTTGAGTTTTGTTTGGATTTTTTTTCTCCTCCCTTCTTCCTCTTCTCCAGCACTTTGATGCTCTTCCAATCAAAGCCATACCCTGTCCCTTTCTTGGCTCTCCAGGACACATTCTCTGAAAGGTGTCAACATCTGAGTGTCAACCACCAGCCTTTATACTTTGTGTTTACAGTTTACCAGAACCAAGCTGTTAAATCCCTTCATATTCTAAGCATACAGAACAAAAATTTAGTACTTTAAACTTTAGTTCATTCTCCCAAATGTAAGGTGATACGGCACATTCAGAGGGGTGCTGGTTACGCAGGTACTTCCATAGCATTACCTGTGGGATATCGGACAATGTTATGAGGGTGAAAAGTTGTTCTGGCTGTATAGGATTCATGGGAACACACATGGGAACAGACCAGCATATGGGCCTGAAAAATGGCCTTTATTCAACTACATATGTAGAGATTCTACAAAGGGAAAATACTCCTTTTCTATTTAAGATTTCTAATGACCTGTGACACAGAAGAAAAAAGATGTCATGTGGCAAAATTATATTATCTATCAGCATTAGGTGTAATACAGAATAAGCTACCTGCCATTTTGAACTTTATCTTTCCCTCAGTTTGGAAACCTGTGGAGGCACTCCAATGTACTGCACCTCTATTGATCACTGGATTCATGGAGCACAGGACTGGTGGGCGCTCAGGATTGCTGCTTCCTTGATCTTAAAGAAGGTCACACATCATTTTCAGAAAAATAGCTTCACTTGATCTTGGTCTCTCTCTTCACATTAGCTAAACCTGACCTGGGGTTTCACTACCAGAAAAAAAAAAAAAGCCATTTTCTTCGTGCCACACTATTTTCAGAATGATTTTTACATCCACTTTGCTGAGAAGTCCAAAGTTCAGAGTTCTCTCAATCCCCTTTGTCTTTGTCCTCCAAACACACACATATACACACATCACTGGAGGACTTTTTCCACTTTTGCAGCTTTTCTTTGTTTCAACAACAATCTGGATGGAGAAACAACAAAACCTACTACTCCTTCCCCACTCCTCCCCCCTGAATGATCTGCTTTTAATCACGACTAACATTTAAAACAGACATTAGAAAGGAGAGGCTACCCCTTTATAATTACGGAGCTTGATAATTACCTGGTGACTTGTAACAGACCCATTCTCAATGCATCTTCCTTCCTCTCTCCCTTGATAATGTAATCTAATCTCTTGGCTATGCTTTCATCTGGCATCCAATGCTGCACGTTGTTTATCAAACAACAATCTTTTCTTAGGTAATGACAGAACAAAGGCAAGGAAGAGCAACTATGGTAATACTACAGCACTTACCACTTCAAAAGTAACTGAATCGGTATAATTTACATTGCCTGGGTGCTTTTTTCCTTCTTTTCAATACAATATTATCTCCTCTATGCAAGACCATGACTTACCTCCACCCTTTTATTGGACACTCTCTGTATTTACACATTACAGAAGCTATTGTGCAAAATGTCAACAGTGGAAGTCAGAATGAAAAACAAATACAGAAAGCTGAGATATTTCACATATATCTTCATATTTGAAGGCACAAGCATTTTCTATGACAAGAAAATCATGTGCCTTGTTACTGGACTATCACAAAGTCTTTGCAATAATGTGCATGACTATTTGTCTTTAAACACAGATTTTAGTCTCTCAATAGCTCATTCAGAAATTCTGACAAGACTCTAAACATAAGTTAAATTTCTCAAACTTCTGCTAACTCAATGTTGAAGACAGGTCAGGTTGCAGAAGTTTTTGCTTTGGATTTTCTGAGGCCAGTGATCCTGTTTCCTAAAGATGCCTGTACTCCGTATTCCCTGTGTGCCTTGACTTCAGTAGTTCCTCACATTCACAAATCAAAACATAATGATCTCTGCAACATCCCACCTGTGCTATAATTCTGATGTAATGAAGAACAAGAGCCCAAAACCCCTGATATTTTGACAGTTCACAACTAAAAGGACAACCAAGGGTACCACGGTAGTAAAACTAAACCTGCCATCAGCAATTAGCAGTTTGGTATCAAAATCAGAGTGAAACAGCTGGGTTCATCTGTATAAATGGTATCTGCAGAGCCAAGATAGCACTAATCACTGAATCCCAAGCCTGATCACTCTTATCAGGTGTCATTTGCCACGGAAAAATGCAAAACAATTATAAAATAGACCTGGGTGAAGGAAGAGATAGATGAGTATGAGGTATAGAGATACACAGTAATGTGATAGTCTGAGCTTTAAGATTTTTGTAGCAAAAGAAACTGAATAGATGCATTATTATAAAAGAAAGCCCTCAAGTACCACTCTCAGAGTCACATCATATAAATTCTTGTTTTTATGACTCATTACCAAAGCATAATGGCTTTATGGTGCATGACACTGGCCCAAACTATTACTGTTATTAAGACAATGACAATACACTTCCCCTGCTTACTTTCCATGTGATTTGAACAGGTTGAGGGAGAAGTTCCATCTTCCCTAAGCATAAGTTGAAACACGCAGCTCTGGTGATGTTCTCCAAAGACACAGCATAACCACCTACTCAAACAGGTATGAACCAATGAAGGACTGAGGTTAATAAGTCAAAAACCACAGAAAACTGTGGTTGTGTGGCTATGAGGATGCTGCCAAGCTGTGATGCTCTTACAGTCTCTGATTGAAAACACTGTCCTGGAACAGGCAAACCTGGTCAAGGCCAGACCTACAGGTAGGTGAAATGGGTAACAGCATTGCAAATCAAATGTGAGATTGGGATATTCTTCCATAATTCATCAGGTAAGACATCCATTCCCTTAAGCACTGAGTTACCTAATGACACTAACTTAACCAATAATATTTAGAAAAAAAAAAAAGAAAGAAAAAAGTTCACAATTTTTTCATGAGGACTCTTTGCTTACTTCATGATGCCAAAAGAAAACAAAGAGTTGTGAAAAAAGGAGTTATTATCCTTCGTCACAGTATGACTTCAGAGGCCTTTATAAGAATGGTCTTTCCAGGCATTCGCACAGTCATAAGGAAGCTCATGAGGACAGGTCAAAAAGACAGGTCAAAGCTCTGCTGACAGAACAGAACACTGTTCTGATTTTCTGGAGAGTGGAAAGACTTAAGCATCCAGTTACCCAACTGAATTAATACTTAAATAAATAACTCACAGAACACATTTTTCATTGATGGCAATTTTTTGCAAAACCCAAAGCACTGGAGATAGGAACGTGTAATAAAACATTTTGTAAGCGTTTTTTTGTGATCAACAAAGTCATGTCTCAAGCACGTAACGATCGAGCTACAGAACTGTGATTCTTTAACGATTCTGATTTCTTTAATGCCAGTGCTCAACCCCAGAGCTTTTCCTGCCTGGAGGCCACACTGCCTCTGGCGATCCTGTGAGCCAAACAGGGCTCTGAGCTCCCCTCATGTGCAAAGGAAGTTGTTAGGACACAGAACAGGTGTGGAGCATTGGCTCAACAGCCACACATGACTTCTCATTACAGACCTATCACTTATGGGACCACTTACACTCTCTTCTGCCACGAGGTTCAGCTGGAGGTGGAAGAAGCTGTGCCACATCCCATCAGTCCAGCAGCGTGCACACAAAACCTGTCTCCTTGCATTTGTTATATGAAGAGACCCTATACGTGCTGTCCTTCCCCATGCTTTCCTGCTCTGGCCTCTTCTGCTCAAAAGCAGAGGGAAAAAAGGAAAAAAAAAGGTCACTCTGAGAAGCTTTTAAATAAGCAGGATAGATCCCAACCAAAGGAAAAGTTTCATTAGCATGCTAACTATTTAATTTCCTCCCAATCATTCATGTAGCAGCAGTGAATAATTAGATGGATTAGGTTGTTTCTAATGGTATTTATTTTTAAGTGGTTACACTATGCAGTAATTTGGCCTTCACATCTTTGCACCTGAACCTTTCTGTAGCATCCTCTCACAGCAATTCCATTTATATCCCACCTTGCAAAATACTAAGAGGATGCCCAGGTTAATTCAAAACCAGTTAATTCAGGTACCAGTCACACAGTTTGATTAATCCAACTCTCAGACTAAATACATTTCTCCACATCACGTGGGGAGCAGCACTTCTGTTTTTGCCACGGTACTGTTTCCCAGTACCTGCTGTGGCTCATTCAAATCCAGTTTATCTCTGGGCAACTCCATGCCAGGTCAGACCAACACACTGATTGTCCTGCTTTGAAGTCAGCTGCTTCTCCAATTGAAAAGTGCTTCTCACACTAGTGCAGATAACAAAATAGTTTACTCAAGGAGTGCTGCCAAACCATCTGGCTCTCAAAAATGCTGCAATTATTTAATAAGTACCCAGCCCTTGTTCAATGAACACTGGCTATTACTGATAAAAAGCTCAGTTTTGGAGCAGTTGCAACTGTTAAAATATTTCTGCACCTAAACCCCAGGCATTTTAGCAGCCCCAGCTTCTGTTCAGTCCTGGGCAGAGCTGATGAGGGTGGGAAGGCAGAAGACACTCTGCAAGGGCTCTGCAGCTGCAGAGGCAAAGGGGAGGGAGGAGGGGAACCCAGAGCACATCTGCAGCTCCCTTCCATAATTCCATAATTAAAGAAGTCTCTTAGTGATGAAACAATTTCCACAAATGTCACAAATCCAGCAAATTACCTCTATTCCTCACAAACTATGCCACTGCCAATAGCTCTTGGTAAGCACAAATCTGCAATATTATTGGATAGCTCTTGTAAAAAAGACAACCCAGGAATGAATTACAGCTTTATTAAACACTGATTGCCCCAGTCTATAAGAAAACTGCCATATCTAACCTTCCCAGTGCTGTTTCCCACCTTTCTTGCCTCTTGCAATAAAATCTTAGCACAGTTACTACATCTATTTTACTAGAAAAGAGTCGTGCTATGATTTTACAACAAGAGAACATTTATCAGTCAAAGTGTGATGGTTTAAAATATTAAAATTGTGGTTATTCTCTTAGTTTTCTAAGAAAGTACTGTAACAGCTGAATAAGGAAAGGTTATTTTAACCTCCAAAGACTATTGTTCCTTTTTTTCTCCCAAAAATTGTCTGGAGCCAGACAACACAAGGCTGCTGTGCCCTGGGCTAGAATGGAAGGGGGGGGATGATAGGAGGGGGTGCCTGTTTACAATTACTCCATTCCTGTTTTTAATGAATCTTTCTGAATGACCACTAAGTGCTGGTTTTGTTCTTTGGAACAAGGGAGCTATTACTGGAGGACTAAAAAAAGGAAGGAAAAGGGAAAGCAAACAGAAAGCTGCCAAACTCGAAGGCGTTTCAAACATTTCAGCTGGATGTCCCAGAGGTGATCTGCTCCACAGGCACTGTCCCTACACATTTGCAGCCTCTTCTCTTCCTCTTCCTTGACATGCCAAAATGAAACAGCTGAGATAAGGGGGAACAAGAGATAGTCAGAGCTAAAGTCAAAGTGAACAGAAAGCTACTAAAATATGAAGGATGACATTATTCAAATCTGAGTAATTAGAGCTTAATCACTTATCTACACGTGGCTCCTACTGCCACTTGCAAGCCAGACTTCCAGAACCACATAAGGTGCCATGTTCAGGAAGAAGGGATGGGTCACATTGTTTTTGCACCATCATCTGCCATCTCGGCACACCATCTGAAAATTGCCCTCCTCGAGAATCTCCCATTCCAGACAGATACCTCTAAGCCAAAAAAAAACAAAAAAACACTGAGAAACCTGGCTTTTTTTTTTTTTCCTAGGCTGGCAAGGTTGCAAAGCATCAGACCTTATTCTTCAAGATCAGGCTGATCTTGAAGATCAAGTGGCTCTGAGTAACCTGGTCTAGAAAGGTGTCCGTGCCCATGGCAGGGTAGTTGAAACTAGATGGTCTTTAAGGTCCCTTCCAACCCATCCTATGATTATTCCAGGAACCTGACAAGCAGAAAATGTATTTTATATTTAGTTCTTACCGCATCTTAGTTAAATATTGCCATTTCTTACATGCAAATTTTAATAAGGGGCAGGATGTCTCATGATTAATCAAAATGTATCATAAGGACAACCAACACATTTCCATTCTACAAAGTCGTTTCAAGAAATTACACAGTACAGACATATAAAAGTGGCACTACATGGTTTGTTTCGTGTGGTGCATTGCTCTATGACTTGCTAAATGGCAGCCCATTTATAAAGCTGGCTGGGGGTGGACAGTTTCAGTTAGTTAACTGTTCATCATTTGTGACCTTTGTTTATTTACAAAAGGTCCTGGTCCACTACTGTGTATCAAACTATTCAAGCTGCACAGCAATGTTATAAGATCAGGGCTGTGATCTCACGTGTCTGTAGTGCTGTTCCTTACTGCACTATTTCCAGCATCTTCAAAAGCTGTCAAATAGATCTGGGCATGTAAAAACATAAGTTGTACATGTCTACACTCTATAGAGGTATTTGCACCTACTGACATGTTAATATTCACCTGCTGCACACTGGGCATAGCTTTGCATTGCTTTTCTGCTTGCCTATAAAAGTTCTTATTTTTACCCCTTTTAATTGCCAGTGTGGTGACAAATCAACAAAAAGGTTTCAGTTTACCTTTAGAGTAAAGTGTTGGATTTTTAAAAATGCATTATAATATTATTTCTACTTCTGTGAGAAGTAGCAATGCAAAGGAAAGTTTTCCTTGAACACAATTAACTGGCACACACATATGGGATTCCTATTCTATAAAAGTGAAATGATATAAATTATTTCACATATTGATTAATCCCACGTGTTTTTGTTACAGCTCACCATGAAGGATTTGGCAATATTTTTGCAGCCAACACAATAAAACCAATAATAAAAATAAAATAATAATAAAAAAGCTTGCAACAACATATTCTCTCATAAAAAACTGTATAAAGCAAAAAACTGCTCTAAACTAGAAAATAAGCAGCCGTTATTATACAAAAGCTACCTATTTTAATGTGTCATTTCACACGTACCTTTGACAGAGGGGTTGTTGTCAGAGAAGAAACCTCACTTGGTACTTTCCATCCTTCAAGCTGAGCATGTACTTACAGACTCAGAACCACCATGACTCATCTGACAAGAAGCTGCATTTCCTTTACACTTTTATGTGCGGTGATCACGTTTTATCTTTCAGGTTCCCTGCAGTGGTGGTTGGAATGCACATTTTCCCTGCAAGGCAGCTTATGACTCAATCAGGATGGGTAAATTACCACACATTTACTGCAGCAAATAAAGAAGAATGTGCTGTGCAAAGGAACCACAACACAGACGACCACCTTTGCTGCTCTTTGTGTATCAAAACCTTCAGCTTCCACTTGCTGAGGCTCCTCCAAACTCCAGGAAGCAGTGAGTGACTAATACAATCAATTGTAAGGACTTACATTAATTTTGAAACATAGACATGACAAAACACATTTATAGAATATTTCTTCTTAAAATCTGGATAACTTTATTACCTGAACAAATAGAAAATCCATTGTGCAACCTGGCTAAGATGCTTACCTCGGTGACACTATATGGCAGTGATTACTATGAGCTATGTCCCTCCTTGACAGTTTTTTTAATTCAGTTCTTTCGTTAGCCACTTTCTTAGCCCTGTTAGCCACCAGGCAGCCACTCACCCACTCAACAGAAATATCTCCTTCAAGTTACAAGGAATACAAAGAGATATTTTTATTCCATCTTCTTTCCCCATTCCCTTTTGCCTTTTTTTCACTCACATGCAGTCAAGTTGAAAACTGTAACAATAAAAGACACATTCCCTTATCTGAAAATTGTTGTCCTCCCTGAACAACTGAGATTTCTGAACCTCCTCCCCAGCACTGTATGGGCACTGACCACATTGTTCCATCCAAGAGCAAAACACTAAACTATTTTTATATCTTCCCTATACTGCTCAGTGTATATCTTAATTCTTTGTTTGTTTTTTTGATTGTTGCCGTGCTCAGAGCAGATATTTTCACTGGCATGGAGCCATCCATAAGTAATCCCTCAAACAAACACTTGGTGCTCGGGAAATCTCTGGCAGGACCCTGTAACATACATACAAAGGAGAACAAAATAAAGCTGCAGCTGCCCATGCAGGTCTGGTGAACTCCCAGCATCGGCCTTTACAACCTTAAAAGTGTCTTTTATCAGATTCTATGTATGTTTTATTTTTGAAGCTTTAAAGAAGACCTATCCACAAGGAAAAGCAGAGAGTCTATCACATGGCACACTGCTGACAGAGCAGCAACTCGGGGCCCTCACCTCTTAGGGCTGCAGGGACAGGTTATTTCCCGTACGGTGCCCGATGTAACACGGTCCTGCTCAATCACCAGGGCTCCAAGGAGCCTTTCTGCTTTTACTACTAAAATAGCCAATCCACAGCCCAGACACTTTCCATGTGGATGATGAGAATAATTTGTGGTACCAGGAGGACGTTATTCTGTGCATGGACCAGCCTGAAAACCCTACCACAGATACGTAGCCCGCGGATTACGCTGCTCTTTGCAAGGCAGTAGAGAAATCATTTCTTTTAAGACTTGGCTTCTTTTTCTGGCCCCTAAGGAGGAATGTGGTGCAGTGGTTAC